TAGCTAACTTCCAGACATGGAGCAAACTCCAAACATATATATATTTATACTTATGTCAAATAAGGATGCTTTGCAAAAAATTGCGATAATTGGAGCTTGGAAACAACATAGCCCCAAAATTTTTGTCTAGTCTGCCCCAAACGTGAGAGCAACAAGTTGATAAAATATTTTTTGTACTATTTTTAACTAGACTAATATTCATCGATAAATTTTAAGTTTCATAGTAAAATACTTTAGCGTTCAAAAATTATGACTATATAATGTTTAAACCCCCCTCAATCTGAGGGGGTTGCAAATTTTATATTGTTATAATTTTTAAACACTAAGAAATTATACTATAAAACTTAAAATTTATCGATGAATATTAGTCTAGTTTAAATTAGTACAAAAGTAAAGTACAAAAAATAAGTACAAAAAATATTTTATCAACTTGTTGCTCTCACGTTTGGGGCAGACTAGGCAAAAATTTTGGGGCTATGTTGTTTCCAAGCTCCAATTATCGCAATTTTTTGCAAAGCATCCTTATTTGACATAAGTATAAATATATATATATGTTTGGAGTTTGCTCCATGTCTGGAAGTTAGCTATCTCAAAAACCAAAAAATACTAGCGCCGGCCCTGACTGTAACTCACCTTTAGAGTATTTCTATTAAAAATCTTGTGGTATTTATGGCCAGCTGGGAAGTGTTTGTCTATTAAACTCAAAAAGAGTTTACCAATTTTGGTAGAAATATTTTTACTATATAGGGGTTTAAACCAGATTATATTGCGCTTACGATTTTTTGAAAGAGGTTGGATAAGTTTTGGAATATAGTTAAGTTTGAATTTGTAACCAGACTTTTTTAATGCATCCTGATACACATTAGATGAGTTTCGAAAAAGTTTATATTAGATGAATTAGCTCACAGCTTTAATTGTATAGAACGAAGAAGTTGCTTTAAAATGCTAAGAGGGTGATTGGATTCAACATGCATATAATTTAGTTCATCATTTGGTTTACGAAACGGTCTGAATTATTGATCATTGAGGTTCAGTGTCACGTCAAGAAAGTTCACAACTTTCAAGTTACATTGTATAGAGATAGAAAGATTGTTATTTTTAAAAATTTGAATAATATGTTTTTTTATTGCATCCATGCAGTGGCCGCTTGCATTTCAAAAACTGCTAACCCATCAGTTTCTTTTTAATTTAATAAATAGTTTTTATAACCTAAATGTAATAGCGTCATGTAATAAATTTTCTTTAAATTTCACTAAAATAGTATGTTAATATATTTTGAGAACAGAAATTTCAAAATTCTGGGATTAATTAAGGACTAGGTAAATGTATTCCCGAAATGCCATTATTAAAAAGAAAGCACAATATTATAAATTTTAAAAAAGATCTTTGAAAATAAAAAGTTGTTTTGACTCTAATTAAATGATAAAGATGAGTTTAAAAAAACTTTTTCAAAATTTTATATGACTTTTGAAGGAAGTAAAAAACATATTTTTTTATTTTAAATTATGTATTTTCACAGAGAATTTTATGTCGCGTTTGATTCTAGATGCTATTTTGATTTCACTGGTTAATTCAAGTTGAGTAAAATTTTGATGTTAATTTGCAGTTAAACTTCTTTATTTGTTTTGTCACCTATAATGGAGTGAACACAGTTCTAACTAGATTTGCTTTCTATTGAACTGGCTCTTTTTTACTAAATGCAATAAATAGGTTAAATGCAAGTACGTTATTGAACTATTTATCAGGCACTATTAACATTACTATTATTGATAGGAAAGTCATTAAGTTTTCTCTGTATTTACTATTATAGTTAGATTTGTACAACCTTCAAAAAAGAATCCGATTGTTGGAAAAACTTAATTTTCAAAAAAATTGGACCAATCTCTCTTTTTGCTATTCATATTACATGTTTTACATTTTTGTGTAATTATATAAGTGTAATTATATCAGTGTAAAATCGGTTCATTAGAACTATAACGTCTTTAAGAACGTTACGGTCTTTTTTTTTTCTTTTTAATAAACCAATTTTTAAACTTATTTACATAAATATGTTATAAAACTTTGAAATTTTACATAAAAGTAGAACATTTAATTTTTTTGGCGTAAAGGCGTATTAAAAGAATTCTATTAATACGTCTTTATTCTGTGAAAACCTGAACAAACAGAGCCGTTGCGAAGAGATTTTAAAGAGAGTAAGGGGTGAAAAAAAAGGGTTAGCCAACCATGGTCTTAAAAAAAAAAAAGGGAAATATTTACGAGCTTGTGATGGTGGGTGGATCATGGTGATGGGAAGGTTGTTTATGGTTCATTGTAACGCAATAAAAACATGCTGAGATTAAAACACGATATATTAAGAAATAGTTTAAAAAATATTCGATCACTAAATAAATTCATAACAGTACTAAAAATAGGCTTCTATTTTTTTTATTCTTCGAAAATTGTTTTGGTAAAAACTAGTTAATACAAAATTAAGTAATCAAGATTAAATTGCGCTTTAAAATCTAAAATAAAATGACATTATATACAATTTAACCTCATTACACTGTTTAACATATTTTGAAATTGAAAATTTTCATTTAACAAAGTTTTTTGAGTTTAGACTTAAAAGATCTTATTTTTTCGAGAAGAGTTGTTAAGATATTTTGAGGACCTGATTTGTTAAACAGGTAAGAACCACAGCATTCTTGAGAAAATTAGAATATTTTTTGTTTTTTCAAAATTACTACTAAGTTTACCGTTGCACTAGTATTAAACTTCTTTTTAATGAAAAACTTTATTTAAATTAACTTTATTTAAATTAACTTGAAGTTGAAACTCCAAATATATGTTTGAGCATATAATGGGAACATTTTCAAGTTGATAAATGGATAATTGGAACAACTTCAACGTACATCGAAAAATATTATTTAACAATATACTTTGATGTACATTGGTTTAGCATATATGCATATGGCATATATGGCATATATTTAATGCATTCTTCAGTTTTTACTTCAGGTTTTTTTCAGCCACTCTTTCCAGATGGTTAACATGAGTAAGTAACTGTTGAAAAAAAATTAAAAACCTTTTTTTATTATTTATTTTTTTACTTTTTTTTTTGAAGTTGCAAAACGTTCAAAAAATTGAGACTAATTTTTCTAAATTAAAACTCATACAAATTAGTCTCAAGAAATTACGCCAATTGTCAAATAATTTAAGTTAGACAATTTGTTCGAATATTAGTTTATAAAAATAAATTAATTTTGTATAGAAATTACTACTTTTAAGGATTTTAGAAGAAATTTCTGAAATGCATTGAAAATCTGAAATGCATTGAAAACCTGAGGTTTGAAAAAGGTAACTTGTTTTTGTTTTAGAATATTTAAAAAAATTTTATAAATGGGTTTTTTTAATTCAACTTGTACAGGTAGAGAAAAATTGATATTCCCTCGGTCTATATTATGTTAAAAGAATGTTTTAGTAATATTACTTTTAGTAAGTTAATATTAGCTTAGCTTTTGTTTTTTACTATATCAAACAAAATGCTAAACACTTTTTGGGAATAAAATTTGATATATCCTATAAAGAAAAAAATAGATAAGTTTGTGGATTTTATCTTTTACTTGGTACTACATGTTTGTGATTTATTTTCAAAAAAGATTTAGCATAATCAGATTCTCAATACATAATCAGATTATCAAGGAGTTTTTCAACAGTCAGAAGATTTCGCTTGGTAATACATCCAAACAAACATCTAATGCATAAAAACCTGAATAAGATAGGGGTAGTCGTGTCTTAAAAAAAAATCCACCATGTTGAGCTATTTTTATTGATGGTAATAAAATTTCAAAAAAAAATTATCAAAATACTATTTATGGCATTTTTTTATTTGTCAAAGTATTTATAATTAGAGATATATGCGTGTTTTGAGTGTCAGTGGAAACGGAGTGCATTATAAACAAATTTCTGCCATGTAAATCCTTTCTGGAAAAAAAATTTGCAACATTTTTTGCTCTAATATTCATTAATATGATTTACATAAAATCAAAAAGCGCAGAAGTATATATACTTTTAAAAATATCCCCCAGTAAACCTCTGTTTGAGGGAATTTAAGAAAGAAAAAAAATTGATTTACATTAAATAACATTATAATTTATAATTAGATTTCAAACATTATAAAACTAAATATTGGCGCTCAACTGATACGGTTATATGAAATTCAAAATTCACTATTTTAAAAAAATAATGCGGTTTTTTATTGTTTTTAGCGGCACCTGTCTCATGTCAATCTATTGAAAAGAGTGGTTTAACAAAAATCTTAAGTCAACCTATTGGAAAAAGAGTTTTAAGGAAAACCTTAAGTATAAAAATAACTTTAACTGAAAAACTTTACATTAAAGCAATTAGTGACGATTTATTTTAAGACAAATCAGTCTGATTAAAATTTATAAAACCTATTCGAAACGTAATACAATTTTAAATGACAACTTTGAAACAAGTTCTTTGAAAATAGTTCATTATAACATTTTTTTTGATTATGTAATAGGAGACCCATAGGTGAAATTTTATGCAAAAATTGTGCTGGGAGAAAGTTCAATAATGCTTACTTAATTAAATAGCTTAAACAATGGCGGAAACTTAATATACTTAATAGAAAATAAAAATTTGTTTTAAAAAAAGGCAACTACAGCTTTGGAGATCAACAAACTAACAAAACAAATTTATCACAAAATATTTCCGTATTTGATCAATATAGAAGTTCCATAACTTAATCATTTAATTGATATATATATATATATATATATATATATATATATATATATATATATATATATATATATATATATATATATATATATATATATAAGCTCTCTACCTTTACAAAACACACGATCAAATTAAAATAATAATATAAATGGTTCATCATGATAATTCAGAGTACACAAATTCAGTTATATTCTGAACATACAATAATTTATTTGTTGTAATAATAAAAAAATAATTGTAAAAAAGCAACCTACTGTACCCATCGACTAATTTTATAGAAACAAAAACCAGCCAAACAAAAAAAGTAAGCATTTTTCACTCGGTATCATAGCAGTTGTTTATTTTGATGAAAATTGTTGCTTGGTCGCTTGATGCCATTTCGGTACTTTTTATTTTTTCAGTATCTTTAACATGCAAAAGTTTATATACCGGCATTGATATTAAAATCAATGTCTATACTTTATTTTTTTTTAATTATACGATTGAATTAACAAAGTGAATAGATTTAAACGCATCAACGTGATACAAAATTTAATAACAAAGATTTTAATGATGTTCTTGAAATCAGACGGCGGCTATGTAAGCGCATTAGGCTTATAACTATAAAAATATTGTACAGTAATTTTATGTGTTGTTTTCGTTAGGACAGGAGACCCGCTTTATGAGTTAAAAAAAAAAATGTTTTTTTTTTTTTTTGTTTTGTTTTTCTTTTTTTTTTGACTTGGTATCCATTTTAAAATCTTTTTATTCTTTCTGTTGGTGTAGCAGATTCCATTTGTATAACGGGGTAGTTGCAGCAAACATTGCTGAAACAGCAGCAGTAGATGCGTTTACTTTTAGTTTAGAAATATTATGTAATGCTGAAAGTAATATAAACGTCTGATTAATTCTTAACCTGTTTTAGAGTTAAACAGTAAGGATGAAATTAAAAAAGCAAATAGAATATTTTGATCAAAAACCAAATTAAAATTTAATTAAAATGTTGAAAGAAATCAAAAAAGAGTACATTTTAGAATAGGATAGGTTTTTAAGAAACTTATTAATGTTAGATTAAAGAGAAACAGATTTGTAATCAGTGTAATCAGCGCATGATTAAAGCCGTTTTAAAATATTGGAAAAACACAAGATAACTTGATGCCGAGGTTTTTTTATAGATGGAAAATTATTGAGTTTATAAATAAATACTTAAATACCTAGAAATCTTTTTTAAAATTTAAAATCATTTTAGAATGCTTTTTAATTTTTTTCAGGGTTTTAATTTTTATGTATTTGTTAGGGATCGTCCATAAATTACGTCACGCTATAAGGGGGAGGGGGAGTTGGTAGTTTTGTGACGACTCATACAAAACTTGCTTCTTAAGTGTTTCGATTTTGTGACGAGGGGGAGGGGGGAGGTCAAAATCTGTCGAAAATGCGTGACGTAATTTATGGACGATCCCTTAGAGATTTTTTTTTTCTTTCTTTTTTACAATTATTTTCGTTCTTTTACAATTCAAGTTCGTATTTTAAAAAACTTATACACATTCAAAAATAAAAAAATGTGAGCAAAAAAAAAATTACGTATAAGAATTAAATATAAAAATTTTCATAAGATAACAGTCTTATATAGCTAAAAGAAAACCCGGGAAGCTTGCAGAAGACCAAAAGGTATTACCATCAAAAACCGCTGCGTAACATTCATGTTTTTACAAAATTAAGTTTTTGACAATGAGTTTTTGACAAAAGTGAAAAAAGTTAATAAAATATTAAAAAAAGTTTAAAAATGAGCGTAGTATAAAATAAAAATAGTATTAAAAACAAAAAAAACTCTCAAAGTTGTAATAAAAATAAAAATACAAAAGTAATAAAAAGATAAAAGATAAAAGTAAACTATATTTCGAGATAAAAGTAAACTATATTGTGCACTGTATCTTTGGAGTTAAACTATTTAGTAAAATTTTGATATATCTTATACTCTTTCCATTTTCAAATAAAAACGGAACAACTTAATTGTAATTAATATTTTTTAGAACTTTTTAATTGTAAAATATGTTTTGTTTTATTTGTTTATTATTATTATTTTTTTTATATTGATTATATAATACACTTGCAAAAGATTCTGACGATAAATCAGTACTATGTTCTTTCAGAAACCTTGTCTTAATTTGTTAAAATATTTTATTTACTACGACAACAAATATATAACAACATTTACTATATCTACAAATAAATTAGTTTTAATTTAATGAGAAATGTTTGTAAAGAAATGTCTAAAAATTTTATGAGATTGTGAGTTTATTTGTAAGTTGCATAAGCTTGTTAACGATCGGAGATGATGTCATATAAAAATAATAGTTGTTAAATCATTTATGCTTTTCGCAAACTTGCAAAGATTGTTTGAATTATCTAAGATGAGGTTTTTAAAATGGTTTCTCTCAGTATAATTAACATTTTTTTTGATAAGATTGCGTGTTAAAATAAATATAATAACTTTTTTTGTGATCTGTGATTTAAATCAACGTTTGAAGTCAAGTTATTTATTTATTTATTTGAATTTGTAGTACCGTAAACCGGGGTTACTTTGAATAGCGGGGTAACTTTTATACAAATCTTTTTTTTTTCAAGTTATAATTATGGCAAAAATTTATATGAAATTGTTTAAATCTCAAACATTAAAGTTTTAAAAATAGTTTATATTTTGATTATTTAAAGTTTTACTTTGTTTATTGGTTGGTATTGTTCCCCGAAAATGAATTAAATAATTCTGATATTTTTCTCAAAAAAGTTAGTGAGAATACTTCGTACACTGCCTCAGCTAGTGTAGCAGCTTGTTGTCTAAGTTGCATAATTTTTTTTATAAATTTTTTAAGCATGAAAATCTAAAGAAGTTTGTTTGCCTACTATAATTATGTTCCATTGCTGTAGCATAACATACTTTTTTGTATACAATTTTTCGCATACGGGTAACTTTGAATAACGTTCAAAGTAACTCCATTACATAAATAATCAGAAACATGAAACAATTTTAAAATTTCTTTTGTCATACATGTATTGTATATAATATATTAAGTATTGTACATAATATTATTGTGATTAAAAATTAAAATATCATGTGTATAAACAGTCATACACACATAGTTTGTGTTTATGTGTGTGTGTCTTTGTGTGTATATGTGTGTGTATGTGTATATATGTGTGTGTATACATTGTTTATATATATGTATGTGTGTGTGAGTGTTTGTATATATATATATATATATATATATATATATATATATATATATATATATATATATATATATATATATATATATATATATATATCTTATATATATATCTTTTATGTATATATATATATATATATATATATATATATATATATATATATATATATATATATATATATATATATAAATCTTGTATAAAAAATATTTGTGTGTACATATTGTGTTGAATTATATTTGTTGAAAATACTGTTTTATCTTTAAATTTGTTTTTGTTTAGCATTTCATAGAAGTACTATCCCACTTTTATATGAAAAAAATTGATACAAGGCAGTATATAAATTATACTGAGTGATAATTTTGTGGTAACAATAAACAAAAAAATTATTAAATGTTCATTGGGTGCAAGTTGTCACTTTGTATAATAAAGTTTAAAAACTTAATCTGAAAACACATGGAAAGTCCAAAGTTTTTACAAATATGCAACATGTTACGTTACGTCAATCGTGTTTAGTGTTTCTGGTCAAGTTGCCTGTGGTTATGTTTATAAAGCTGACCATTTATGCACAACAAGAACCACCTAATGTATATTCAATTAAAAATACAATCAAAGCCAGGACGGTTTGATTCTATTCACTTTTTTGACTGGTTTGTTATTTTTTGTCAAATTTTAGGAGCATTCCTATTAGTTAAATCAAAGTAATTTTTACAGTGAAAAACTTGAATTTACTAAAGAAAATCTTGTTGAGAAAGAAACAGTATCTTGTTCTATAACTGGTAACTCTACCCATTTATTGCAATTTCTTAATGTTGCATTTTATTGATCTCTTAAAAAATATTGTAAGAAAATACTTGATCAATTGGAAACCTTTTGTTTAAAAAATGCAGACTATTACAAAAAATAATTGTTCTTTGTTCTTATAATCATTACATTCTTTTTACTTATAATCATTATATTTGTTAAATCAAAAGGCCAGATAGTTACAACTTTAGTTGGCCAAGTAGTAATTAATGTACTTTAACAATTTTTTCATGTTGATGTAAAGGAAAAAACAGACTTAAAGGGGGGGGGGGGGGGGGGAAATTACTTTTGATCTTGTTAAAAATATTTCTTTTGAAGATTTTTGGCAAAATGTAAAGATGTTCCACTTGCAAAGTCTATAAGTGAAACTGATGTAAATGAGACTTTTTTTATGCTAATCCACTTTAAAAATATCCATTTTAACTAAATAAAATACTAAATGGGTGTTTGTTATGAAAAAATGTTATATTTCTTTAGCAATAATAAATTACTGTGAAACTAGACTGTTGTTCTTATTAAATTTTAAAACAAAGCAAGGCGTTTTTGAATAGGTTTTGCTTTTACAAAAAACACATTCAAAGTTACCCCATTTGTGGGGTAACTTTGAATGACTATTTAAATTATTATTATACAAAATACTTTTATTTAAATATTATTTTGGATTTAAATTATGTAAGAGTCAATCTTAGCCCCTATATTCATTTTGTTAAATTTCAAATATTGTCAATAGTGAAGGAAGAGCAAGTAAAAATATCTCAAAAACGTTTAAAGTAACCCCTGCTGTAGTTTTATGGTACCGTTAACCGGGGTAACTTTAGCCATTTTTAAAAATTTTAGTTAAACATCTGTAACTTTTAAACAGTTAAGTAACATTTTACTATTTTTGTTTTATTTGTAAATGCAATCTTTCTTGCTTAAATTATGATCTGAAGTTTGTTGCAAATGCTCTTTATTATAAGTGAAAAAGAATGAAAACTACATCTTGGTAAAACGCAATCAAAAACTGTAAAACAGAATGTTGTCTGGGCGAAGATAAAAATGTAAGCAAAAAACTCAGTTTTTCTTCTGTTTATAAGACAAACGTTCAGATAAAATTAGGCGAAAAGTTTCTGGCTTAAGTAACAACATTCTGGTTTTTTTTACAGGGTGGTCAAAGTTACCCCGTAGGTTTATACTCTTTGGGGTAACTTTGGCCAAGTAAATATTATTCATTTTAAAGTAGTCTGACCGTTATTTATTATATCTAAAA